CGAATTTTTATACTCCATTACCCAAACAAAATGACCGATTGTGGTCCGCAAACATGACACTTTTCATTCAACAAGACAGCAAGTTTTCAATCTTCAAAAGATTTTTACAGATATGAGTTTTCAGTAACTAGATTTTGAGTCACCCTCGCTATGGCGATAAAAACCTGTGAATTTCACGCGTGGTATAGAATTATATAAATTTATAACACCAAACGGGGTTTGCAGGTAGTAATTTATGAAACGGTTTTTGGAATAAGGAAATCTAAAGGGGACTTTGCTGAAATTTCTAGATTTTTTCTTTTTGCTTTGTTATAGGTCAAAACCGCATTGCATGCCTTCAAAATTAAGAATTTAATTCCAGTTCGAAGCGAGTGAAAATATTGTAAAGGCCAAGTTCCGAGTGATGATTGAAATGCTCGCTACTTAGAAAATAAAAAATATGAAATTATTTGTCTTTTGTTAGAATTTTTTAACTACGCATTAAACAATTTTAGAAATGGATTTAATTGATTATGTACTATTTGTAAGATCAATAACTTAAGACTGCTTTAATATGGTTTATTTCTCTTCAAAGCATTTAAAAGACGTGAATAAGTCCATCAAATGTGCAAAATTACGTGAACAGTTTTCAAAGTACCTTTTTCGTCTTTTGATGAAAAGGTCCAATTGAGCTTCATTTGTGAATTTTCCTTTACTAGAAAAACAAGTTTTTCGAATTTTTGAGCACTATATTTGAATGGAAATAAACGTCAAGTCACAACTTGCTGCCTTGCTAAAGAATACCGCAAATAGTTTTACAAACGTCATGGAAGCAAACTCAGACATAATTATAGTAAAACATGTTTCAAGGCATCAGGGGCGGTTTTTCTTCTTTGGCGAAATAAAACTAGTTTCGTTAATAATGACTACGCAGTGTTAAATATGCTGCGTTTTGATTTTACTTACATAAGGCTTTTAAATTTGGAGGTTAAAAAATCATGGTAAATTGCTTTGGACAAAGCGTTTTGAATTGACAACGTAATAGTAACATTAGCCATAAATGAGAAATATCAAAATAACGTTCAAGCATTAGGCCTACTTGCAAATTGGAGCTAGCAATTCGCCCCCTATGCCTTGAAATGGTTGCTTTTATAATCAGTCACGCAGAAAGCAGTGTAACTATTAACTAGTTCACATACTTCAATGGATCGAAATATTAAATTTTATGGTATTATTATAAACATGCCAAAATTGAAATGAACGTATATCACTAAACCTTTATCCTGTTCTTTAATTTTCAACTATGACTTAGCTGTGCTATAATTATGACACAATTTTATTAAAAACAACTAAATTTCAACAGCCAAAATTCTAAAACAGCCATTCCACAGAATTTTCCCCATCTTGATTACTTCACATGTAAAACTTTACTGCCATCACTAATTGTACCGATGCAGCTTAAAATTTTGTGTAGTTAACATTAGGCACAACTGCAATGTTCATTGTCATTAGGGGCGTGATGAAAGAAAAAAGCATGGAGGACACAAAATATCACGTGGGGAAAATATCGGTGGATGGCAAAACCCAGTGTTCAGCATGCAGGCGTCAAACCCATTTTTAAAAAATGCATCAAAGATAAGCTATCGACAAATACCTAAATCCATTGTCTTAGAACGTTTCGTTGAATCGATTAAAACTGAAATATCCATATACTTAGTATCCTGACCGCCTCGCGTCCACACCCTGGTCACTCAGAACTGAAGATGAAGTGACATCTCTTCCTAGGGTTCAGGTTTCAAATGATCCACCGGGGTAGGAGGCAGGAAGACCTAAGTGACTGCCCTTTCTATCAAATACCATAATTTGACAGACAAACTTTCATTAACAATGTGCTAAAATAGTAATGAACAGGAAGCTTTTGCTTCCCACATATTTAAAAATACACTAGATTAAATTAATCAAATTAAGCTTCAGATCCTTACACACCCCAAAGTAAAATGGCATTATGTAGGTCAATCTGAGTAGTTTTTGCCAGGTTTGGCGAACCAAACTGTTCTATAGCGCCGTCTGGAGGGGAACAGGACTGATCTTCTCTAGTGCAATCGGTGGCTTAGCAGATTGTTTTAGTGCGTGCATGCGTGCGTGCGTGTGTGTGTGTGTGCCTGCACGCGCTTGTACTTAATCTTCAGCATCACAGAAATAAATGGCGATAATAATGCAATTCGATCTGGCATAAATACAAATAAAGTAATAGTCATTTGTGTGAGAGCGAGGGGAAGGAGACCCGTTGGGGGGGGAGGGGGGGGGGAGGCGCGACCATAAATAGATCTTTATTAATCTTCTTTCTTAATTCTCGATCTACAAAACAAATACTACCATTCGTCTTACTTCCATCTGTACCTGTAGAAAATCGCGTTCCAAACAATACAAATTAAATAACCGTTTCGTTAATTTTTTTTAAATTCCAAATCACAGGATCAAGTGCGAACACGACGTTTGTATAAAACACTTTCTCGTAAAAATGACACGCAAGTATTTATTACCACACTTGAGAATTTACATGTATACATTCTTTGTACATGTGAATATTTCATTGGATGTGATCTCGTCTAAAATAATATTATAAATGGAAAAATTCATGAATTTATGTGATTCAAAAAGTACTTGCTCGTAATAAACTAAAAGAACACCAACTATACCAATATTAACTCATCGACTTGTTAGTACATGTGAAATACTAGCTATAGTCAAGTAGTCATTTTTATGCCTACAATACATAAAATTAAAAACAGTGTTTCCTTTAAAGTTTTTTTCTTAATTCAGAAAAAAAAAATGAAAAGTTTCTTTGGGTTTATGTACATCAGTTCCTAATCTCATATGCATTGTGTTGTCATCATTAACAATGAAAAGCCTACTGAGCTAATTATGTATTTCCACAAAATATACTTGATAATTAGTACATGTAAGTATCTTCTAGATTAAATATGTAAACATATTATGAACCATATGTAATAATAATTATGATGACGGATTAATTATTATAAAATTGACGATTAGATAGATAAATAAATGGATCAAAACATGAATAAGAAACAAAGCAACACTAAAAAATAAGTGCAGAGGAATAAAAAAATTGAATTCGGTGATTTTATCCCCAGAAATGCATTCTTTAGTTCAACTCAAAAAGTGTCAATTGGCCGGGCCAAGGCCAGATACCGTGTAACACGTTCACTGTGTTTGTTTGTCCGCCCGCAGTTCTGTATCAAATCCTAATTCCCTACCCCTACCGTCCGTTATAAAAACTGTGCAATGTGACATCAATCAAGGAAGGCCCCGTGAGGTCATCCGTGCCCTCTCGACATAACTGTCCGAAAAAAGGTCCAGTGCCCTCTTTAACAAAAGAAATTTAGTCCAAAAATTGGTGTTAAATTTTGGACCTAGATTTTAAGTCAAATTTGAACCAAGATCAATTAGTAGAAGTCGAATCATATAAATGAAATGTAAATGTCTGTAATGTTTCATAGCAATGAAGTGGCCTACTTTGCAACTTTTAACTGAAATAGGTTGAACTGAAATAGGTTCGCATCATTATTTGGGGCTAAGTACTTGTGTGCAACTGACCCTGGTGTTGTGAAATGATATGTAAGAATCCCGCCATAAATTAAGAGAACGCCCATATCAATTTATTACAATGACACAAAAATAACCCCGTAGGTATAAATCATTACCTTTGTAGTAATATAATTTATGGGTGATGTTTAAAAGGCAAAATTACTTGTTTAAAAGTAAAATGGCGGCTACTCTGCTGTTGTGAACTGCGCATTTTGTTTTCGGCTACCGAATGACGTCAGTGAAAGAAAGTGGCGTCAGCAAAAAACATCTTATAGCAAACATACGACGTCATAGTGACGTATATGGTAACCATCATGACAAATTGACAAAGACGTGATAGGTGTGGAAACTGAGTATGATTTAAGATATAAATTCAGATAAATGTACCTCAAGTGTATTGAAACCAAGTTGCTTTTGAAATCATGCTATGGACATGGCTTTTCGTCGGCGTCAAGACGCAAAGTGTCACCTTGATGAGGCCCTTGATATGAGCAACGTGCCAGTACTATTGTAAATGCGGGGCACAACAGAAGGGATGGAAGTATGGGGACCTGAATTTCTATTTCCGCGGTTTCCGATCTTCCATTGAAAGGCTGAGATACACAGTCCAGTAAATGATATTGAACAATGCGAAGCAGAGAAAGAACAGCGCCCTCCCTATGCTGTCTACCTTTGCAGGGTTCCAGTAGATCTGTTTCGGTGTACCGGCCAGGTATTTGGCGTCCGAAGATAAAGGACTGATGCTATTCAGCGCTGGCTTGACGTCCTAAATATTGATAAAGAACAAAACAGTTTAGAAATGTGAGAGTGTCATTTAATTCTCTTTTACCAGAATAAAATAAAAAAGTAAACATAAAAGTGGCTGTAACTAAAGGTTAAGGTTTGAAATAGCGTGTTGGTTTGTTCAAATTTGGCAACAAGAAAAAGCGTTTTGGGAATATTATAAGTCACCGAGTAGTGTCGGGGGTCAATTAAAGTTTTCGATTCAAACTTCAGTTCAGAATAGTAGTATTCTTACGACGATCTCTCCCCTGGCCTTTCGGTCATCCAGCCTCTGAATCATAACATTGACCAAGGCATATTCAAACATGGCCCCCACCACGAAAACGAGGCAGGTAGCGAGCCACACGTCCACGGCCTTGACGTAGGACACTTTTGGCAATCCTTGCTGGGTGTTGACGCTCTGTGTCATAGTGGTCAGCACAGTGATGACCCCTATGGTCACTCGAGCTGGAACTGCCCGTGGGTCAATCCACATACTCATGAAAGCCAGGAAAACCACGACAATGCTTGGGATGTAGACATTCAGAAGATAGGGGCGCAGATCCCGGGAGAAGAGAACATTTACGGTCAATACGGAGTAGTTGCCTAGAATAAAAGAGAATTAAAAACTTCTTTTATTTCATCTAAGAAACTGAAAAGGTTAAATGTTGTATATTTGAGTATTTAGGCAAGAACATCGAACTTGTCATCAAGAAAAAATATATCAACATATGCAATTACCTCGTTTATCCAAAATAAGACCGGAATCGGTTTCTATATCCACAAGTTCGAACTCCGGAAAATTAAGATCACTTTTACTGAAACGTATGGGTTCTTTTTCGTCCCAGAGCAGTTGTAGAGATTCCACTGTGTAAGCATCTATTTCATGAAAAATATAAATGAAGATAAAATCGATGCAGCTGTACGAGACACACAAGTAAGTACACAACATTAATGAGAAAAATGGACGTTTTAAGATAACTGTTATTACTGCGTTTTTTAAATTGAAGTCGATGTTGCATGTTATCTATAAGACAAAAGTGTTTCATTGAAATGCTATTGAAATGAATTGAAATGCTAAAGATATATGCTTAGGCTAATTTTTTTTACTTACAACTAGACATTTGAATTTTGCAGAACTGGGTGTCCATGGGGAACCTCAGGAAATTGTACTGGCAGCCAATTGTCAAAGAGAGCCTATGAACAAAGCACACAAATAAAACGTAAGACGGCATGTTTAGTGCAATGAAGTGAAAATTGTACTTTTTACAACTGAGCCTGATGCTGCTGCTGATGCATGCAATATTTACATTCTGCTGTGGACTAAATTGAATGACACCTAGCTAGAATTCTATGCATTAATTTATTCAGGTACCAGGTCGGACATTTGGTATAATTTTGTGGGGGTCTGGAAATTTCATGATAAGCAGGAAGTTAGTCATACAGTGGGGACTGCATTCACCAAACTTGAACCACACAGATTTTTATCTATGGGGGTATCTCAAGGATAATGATGATATCTGAAACAATTAGTGAACTTCAGGCGGCAACCACAGAAAAAAAAATCAGGGAAATCCCGAACGAGGAACGAGTTCGAGTAATTGATAATTTTCCGCGATGTATGCACGTATGTCTCCACTTATTTCATGGAGCTTATTTCATTTTGGATATTTTGGTCGCTTTTATGAAAAATTTATGAGAATGATCGTGCACATACTGAAGTTTAAGACCAGCAACTTTCTTGAAATAAAAGTTTTATGGGTTCTTTCTTGTCACCCTGTACAGTATGTTTTCAAAATTTATGTCAACTTAATTTTGGACATCACAACTGAACGAAAAAAGGGGAGTCACTAAGTGTGATGTTTATATGAAATAAAGATCTCTTCACTTATTCGTGTATTGTTGCAATACACATACCTTTGGGAATACACCATCCTTCCGTCTGGATTGATCTGTAACATCACGTTGGGATATGTAATGCTGTGCCGCTTTGCTTTTTTCTCCTTCAAGAAATACAAATCTGGCATCCACGCTTTTGAAAAAATCTCCCCAAAGGTTAGAAATATGGGTTGGCTGTGTCGGTCTGCGGAAGCCAGTCGAGGTTCACGCCAGCTCTGTAGTAGGTATATCCCGACCGTAAAATCCTAACGATATAAAATGTAATGACCATCATGCGGCAATCGGCGATACTTTGAAGCGTCTTATTCCTTTTTTATAACCCTGGATAGTTGGAACAAACTGCTCTTCTCACAGTCCATCCCCACCATATAGGGTAATTATACAAAGTAGATAATAAATTGTTATAGAACTCAGAATGCCGTTGAAATGTGACCGTGTGACAGTTTCACACTTCAAATTGGACGTTAAATTGAAAGTAACAAAAGGGGTGCTTTCACAGCCGCTTTGAAATACAGAATGGGAATATTAAAGGGATAATAACTCTTCGTATGATATCTATATTTCACAATAAAAACATTGTGAATAACTCATAGAAATATAATATATTCTGTTTTACCACAAAAACGGCAGCTATAGCTATAATTTTGATATCTGAGCTTGTCTTCAGATCACGTGACCTCCACTGATGGCTGTACTCTGTTATAATCTCTTAAGAGATTTTAACAAAAAACCAAACTTTTTAGAAAAAAAACAGAGACTAACTTTGAATGTAAAAATGGATTCATTAACCAATGGTAAGTATGGAAAAATTGTTGTTCACTCCAGGAAAATTCATTTTTTGGCCAAAACGAAGAGTTATTATCCCTTTAAGCAAAGACCTTTTTTGATTATTTATACATGTGTCTTTCAAACTTACCATGTTCGTAATACTTATATCACTGAAGGTATCAATCGTTATCCCAACGGTAACATTATCTGAGACACCTGATAAGAGAAAGGGAATACACGACAATGATGTTTTAACATAAAAGTTTTAACTTAAAAGCTTAGAATAAATAGGTGGGTGCGAGTTACTGCTAGTTATTGTGTAGGGGTGAAATTCATGTATACAGGCCTTTAAAACTAGGGTTGGTTTTAACAAATTTTATTCAGAATTGTCCAATTTTGCTGCATGTGCATGCAACGTGGTCGGTGAAAAAGGAGTGCGGTCTGAGAGAGAGAAAGAGAGAGAGAGGGGGAGAGGAGGAAAGCAATGAAAAGGATACTCACCACTCGTCATATACGGTCTCCTTTGGGAATCGTAATCATGTCCCAATCTACTCAGAATGTTATTTTTTTCTTCTTCGAAGCTCCATGTATACTCATAATGATAATCATAAACGTCATAATCATCACTATAGTTATCCGCTGTGTTGTTTCCAGATGAGATGCTAACCGAAGCAGAGGTGCTTGATGTTCCATCGTTCATCGACATAGCGCTGCAATGGACAAAAAATTAATGACTAGACGAGCCTCCCCTCCAGGAGAGGCGAGGGAAGGGGAAGGAAGGAAAAGGGGTTGATTTAGAGACAGACTACTTCCCTTGGAACAGGATCAAGAGGAATACTAGAGGAGGTTTTTTACACAAGATGTGCCGTTGAAAAGAGTACACTGTCAGCAATTTATCTGAGGAACAGAGGCAAAATGCACAAAAAAATGAGCAAGTAGGCTGGTCTGTCTTTTTCTTGTTTTGCATCCCATTGCGCACTGTCGGTATGCTCTAGGGCATATTGTAAGGAGGAGAGAGGTCCAGCTGACTACACGGGATGAGCCGAGGCAGGCAGCCTTTTCGAAGGGGAAGGCTAACCTGAGCCAACAAGCACTAGAAACTGGTTAACTCAGTACCTTGAAGAACAAATGAAGCTATTCGGGTTTGTGGCAGCTATCCGAGATTATGACTCTGTGATTAAATTCTGGTATAGTATTGCCTCTGGGTGATTCTGCCTCTCTCCTCTAATATAATTCTTGCTTCCTTGAACATGACAATTGCTTTTTCTTGTAAATTACCGATAATCCCACAAATCAAAATGGACCACTAGGAGGTACCCAAACGAATTAAATGAAGAGTCTGTGTATATAAATGTATATGTGAATTTAACCGGAATTCTTTCGGGTTGAGCTTAATGTCATATAATGTGATGAAACAATAGCTGGTTATGAATTATCGAAAGGTTGTATATGTAACAGGATTATCAATCGATGGCCCTTCTATGTAAGTAGCATCTCAAAGGTAACGCAATATATTTCTGCATTCCCTAGTGCACAGTTACCACAAACAAGGTATATAATGACAATTCCAACAGAAAAGGGCATGAACTGTGATTTATTGTTATCTAGCTGATTCGCATTGTAATAAAATGTCAACTTTTGTTTGTTACGATACATAAAATATGAGAGGAAATGAGCCAGTGGACATACAAATTTATCATGAAAAGGGCGCCTTTACATCACGATCGATAATTTGAATTATTTGCATTCGGTCTTCCACCGTCCCCTATCTACCAGCGCTTTGGACCTTTATACAACAAACGGTTTTTTTTCTTAGAAATTTCAGAAAAATTACTTTTTATTATAAAGGTTTCCTGTCCAAACTCATTGAGAATACTACGATTTATAAACTTATTTCGAGCTCAAAATTTGTAATCTTTTACCCCCACTAATCGAATTCACTTGTCCCCGTGCTCAAATTACGAGAGTTGTTCAAAATTAGAAAATGGTTCGTAGATCGTAACTTTGCCAGCGTTTTTGAATATGGTATAGCTTGGAGATCGAAGGTGTTGCAATTTCAGGGAAAATTAAATCTGCTTAATTAAGGTCTAACCTCGTTGAGTGAATTACTAAAATATACATTGACACTTTTATGATTAAAATTTTTTCTTGCATATTTAATATTTTTATCATAAAAAAGTCCACAGACCTTCACGATTAATAGCTGGATCCCCCTCCCATAATTTAACCTTCTTACCTTATTTGCAATTAAGGACAGGTATTTTAAAGTGAAGAAACTTAAGTTGTCTGCTTTCGTGCCAAACCATTCTTCATCAAATAGAAAATATATTGTGTTTCAGATGACATCGAAGGTTGAATTGATAAGAAATATTACACAAAGATATTCATTTTTAAACAGTTAATACACAGGTCTGTTTTTTAGAAAAAATATTTCCAACGTTTCATGGTGAGCTCTGCTTCAAAGCTAAGGGTAAAAGATAACACCCTTGTTTTTATGATGGTGAATTTCACCGCTGATATATTTCCTGGAAACAGTTTGCCTTTTTTGTTAACAAGTAATCTTGAATTCTAGTACCAAAAAAAAAAAAAAAAAAACATTATTTGCTTAATAACAAAACCAGGTACATTCCTCTTTTAAAAGTTGGAACGTTAGCTGCTTTTTAGTTTAAGAAAAGGTCATGATAATCAGAAACGAAAACATCACTCGTGTCAATAACAAAATACATACGTATCTGTTCTAGTAAGGAAAAAACTAAATAACATGCAGTTTTAGGTTTAATGTTGTCGTTCACTCACTGTGTGTAGCACATCAAAAACGGCAGTAGGACCATAACTGGCAATACCATCGGCTTGGCCATGTTGAAATCAATTTGTTCCTATTACTGGCGCTTGTCTTCTCTGATAATATACCGTCATTCTCGTCATCGGCCTTATAAACGCTAATAGATTCCTCATCAACTATTTATGAAGAATGGTTTAGTCTGGACTGCGATAAGTGAACAACAATGAGAAAGAGTGGGATAGAGAACGAGGATAGAATTAACCAAGGTAGTTCTCAAATGTACATAGCAAATACTACTTGGTCATTTTCTTCAAATAAGTGTTAATGTATAAAATTTAACTTAAGTTTCATTGTACCTTGCGACATTGTTCTCTTGGTTTGACGATCAATTAATTTTATCTGCAAAACGTATAATCGATGAACAAGAAAAAATAAACACTTGTTTCACAGGTGCCGAAACAGACACGAATATAATTGTATATAATTTTAAGGAAATGTCAACCACGTCTGAGCTGTATAAATCAGTTTTGGTGATTATTTTATCAAATGCAACCAGACTTTCATGAGTGCACGAACTTTTCCTTGATAGCACCTCTACCACAATCGCCACCGTTGTCACGGTGTAACGTGACAGAGTCCCCCATAGAGACTCCGCTTCCCATTCATTTGTACAGGTAAGTCTCGCCCTAGATTTTGACCCACTTAGGTCAAGCTAACCCTAACCATTATAACTAAATGGAAAGCGGACTTTCTGTTACACGGATCTTCAGTTTCGTAGCAACGGGACTGTGACGGTAGGCGAATTCATATCAATCACATAGTTATCCCGCTGTAGATTCCCTTGTAAGTTCATAGAAATAAGCTGATTTTCAGGGAATAACATTGTGTTAGAAATCTAAAAATAACCTGAGCTCACTGTTAACCAATTCATGGTAAATTTTTCGCCTGCAACCTATAAATGAACTAGCACGCGCATACTTACAATACTTAAGTGCATCTCTTAAGCAGTTACTTATCATTTATTATTTATATCAGTGGTTAATTTTGTGAGCACAGGAAACTCTTAATATCTACATTACATGAAGGCGTATAACAGAGGACGTGCGAATGTGTAAAAGCTTTCACCGACCGCAACGCATGCTGCTCTACGCGCGCGTGCGATTGTACGAACGTTTTTAACTTTTAGGATCCAGGACCTACTATGGACCCAATGACATGAGCGAGCTTTCTAGGCCGTCTCATGCCACTGATAAAGGACGTTAACCTGTACGTTTTAGTTAATCATTTATTATGAGCATTATTGTTGACTAATTACGTTACTGGGCATTTATTCGATGGGTCATAGGTAAAATGAGTGCAGAAATTATTCATTATTTGGTGTAATGAAACATCACTAATGTCTTCGGGCGTGGTTTGCTCGGCCTGGCGTGGTTGTTTACAGATATATTCTGTGCTGTTTCCCTTTCTGTAACCTTATCGTTCGGTTGAAATAGAACGAAAATGAAAATGCCCATTGTGACAAAAGGATAAGTCCAGCAAGGCCTTTTGGGATGTTACATCTAATGTTAACTAAACTGTAACTGAAAGTTAAGGGTGGTGAACTGAAAGAACACAATGTTATGTATTATATTTACGCTCTATAATCAGACTCGTCGACCCCCTCTACGCGCTGCGGCGTGTTGGATGTGTTTTGCATATCATCTTTAGTATTCGTGTCAGGATTCACTCGGCCTTCTCTGTAATCCAAAATATCAGTTTCAATAACTGAGGGCCGAAAAGATTCCCTGAAATCGCCATTTGCTGTGAAATCCTGATTCCCGTTATTTCCCTCCTTCGTCCCTTCGGAAGATTTCGATTTTATAGAGCTCCTAAGCAATTCTCGGCTATCTTTTATATTGTTTCGTTTAAAATGATTGTTATTCATTCTCTCGTGTGAAGAACCGGTGACATCGGAGGCTGACTCGATGCTATCGATGGAACTCCCTGGGACCTGAGGTGTGTCCACGACGCTAGGACCAGGAACGGCAGGGTCCGCCGAGGCCCTTAAACTGTGACCTGTGACGGATTGCCTCGGAAGAAAGCCATTGGCCTGCATGTGCTTGTCTGTGAAAATTTGTAAAATTAGAATTAAACGCAGAAATGAGGACAGTACTTACACATTTACATAATCCAAGTTAAAAAAAAGGTTTTCCGAACTATTTATTTTCTCTTCTCGCCAAATCGAAATTGAAAAAGTTAATAACGTCTTGTAAGGCGCGATCGGTTCTGATCAACCAATATAATTGATAACAAAAATGTTATATTAGATATCACTAGTCTACTACAGGTGCACTCTACACTCCTACCCGTCTCATATTCTGTCCTTCTTGATCTGTGTAAAAAGAAATCGGACTTGTGAGGTTTTCTGGGGCTATTCTCGTTCTGAAATATCCAAGAAAAAAGAGCTTATTTCTATATTTCTTCTGTTGTGTTGAAAATTATAAAACTGTGACTTATGATTACTATAATTAGCCGATCTATATTACAGAAAGTAATCATGCCAGATTTGGAGAAAAAATGAGCAATATTTTATACATCATCGTCAAAATCAAACGTAATTTAAACAATCCAGCACGTATAATTGGAAATATCGGTGAAAATAAAATTCAAAAAACATAATTTGATTTCTTTTTGGTCAAAATGATTCGAATGAGTATAACTGTTTGACGTTAGTGCTCTACCTCTTTCTTGCCGCAAAGTTTCTTGATATGCTTGAATCTATTACTGCACGCTCCTAGCGAGAAAAATACCACTGCGGCTACCAGTGCCCCTGCTACCACTCCGTAATTTTGAGCGTCGTCATTCTGGTCGTCCATGTCCTCTGGATCTATTTGCGCATTGGGATCGTCTAGACTGTTAGTTATCTGCACATAAGAGATACAGTATAGAAGTATGAAAGATAAAAACCCAACGAGAACGGACTTCAGAAGATAGACGGATGTTGAGTACGAACAGTGACAAATTTGTAGTCAACCTTCTAATTAAAAGAGCCGGTTGTCTTTTAAAATGTGCCTTATGACCTATTTGCATCTAAAAAAGAAGGAAGTAAATGTGACTATCATCAGGGGACATTGTCGTAAATAATTGACATCACAGAATGCATTCGTAATTGTAATGAAGGTGTAACCTATTGCAAATTTGTGTAATTCTTTTTTCCGTGCTTGTAAAGGATTCAACTGATTATTTTGCTAGCGTTGTGAGAATGTACAACTTACATTTTGAAATATGTTGATATTGCTGGGATTTGAATCCGTTGCATTTCCTTCAAAAGATATTGTCACTACGAAATAAAAAAAGAAATTATTATCATAACAATCCAGATTCTTATGACACAGAAATTGAATGTTCTGTAAAGTGATCAATCCCATTCTTTAACATCTTCATAGCAGGTGACATTTCCGTGTCCACTGACATTTACGGAGGAAGCTACCACATATGAACTCACTGTTTCTGTGTATGCTGACTCCCAATTACCCTTTTCTTAACTGTAATACTATATGTCATGTAATGGCGATTTAATGGTATACAATTATTCGCTTCCAATGATCCAATCAAGTGCAAAAATTATAATAGCGTCGCCAACCAAGGAAAAATTTATATATAAAGTATATTCATCCATTATTTATCGCAATTATATTTCTCGAATTTCTATATGTATTTTCTACACAATATACGCGTGTTCACTCGTTTTCCATAAGTTTAATTTGTGCTCATGTTTATGCCTTGGCAATCTCAATTTATTTACATATTTGTGCCGTACTGTACATATGTCTATATTAAAATATTTTATTTAGACTTGTCATACATGTAATATAAATTGTAAACTGTCAGTCTGCCTCTAGTTCTCCCTATTTTAACTGTAGTAAGTACTGGTCATGGAAGTAATACATTAGCATTAAACTTTTATATTTAAAAGGCCAATTTTTCTCATAATTTAAATCTAAATTCACTACTACAAATATTGGTACGTGTATGTCACGAAAAAACGAATCTCATACATTTTGTAATTCGAAGTATTGACAAGGGAAACTTGTTAATTTTTTTTTTTTTTTTTTTTTGAGAATTCACCATTGATCATTTTTTTATTCTAGTATATTTACAAGTGGGAAACAAAATACTCCAGTAAGTGCCTTTCTTTCTTTCACCTTCCAAAAGTTAGTACATATTCGGTGTGATCGGAATTGATTTATTCGACCTACCGTCATTTCTCTCATCCAGCAAAAAACTGTCCCCACCAGTTCCATTGGTATCCATAGTCGTATTCGACTGGTTAAGAAAATCTGTGTTGTTATTGAAAGTGTTTTGATCGGGAGGCGATTGAGATACAGGATAGGAGAAAGTGCTCCTGCGAGAAACCTCAGCTAATTTTGTGTCTGTCGCCTCGTCTGAATCTTCATCGTCCGTGTAGCCAAGCATATACCAGAGAGTGGAAAATGACAGAAACGAGGTTTCAGCTTCTTTTTTGCAGCTTCTCTTAAAGTCTTCCGTTATGTCGCCATCATATACGTCACACCTTGCACATATGACGTCACGGGTTTTTGTACACTGTTTGTGGATGAAATGTCTGGATGTACACTTTTCTGAACATTTTTGGCATGGTTGGTTTCTTGAATAGGTTTTTGAAAAGGTCCCCGCTTTGCAAGGTACGCAGAAGGTGTCCTGAGTATTGGTGCATTTTTTCTCTGCCCCATAACCTGGCGGACATTTGGAGCAGCGCTGTCTTGTTTGCGTGTTACAGTACTGAAAAAAAGAAAGAAAGAAAAGGGAGTAAAAACAAAGATTTCTATTGTTCAGCGGGCTCTTTCATAGTTTTGGAGCAATATAATAATAACAAGTGTGATATAATAATGGGTGGATAATATGTACCCAGTTATTAACGAAAAACAAACGCAGATAGATTGGTGCACACCCATCTCACCCTCATACACACACACACACACACACACACACACACACTTCTTTCTTTTTCCCCGACTATAGACATATACAGTTTAAGCATACTGCCCATTTATCGAAACGTCGAAAATGAACATCATCCGTGATAGCCCCAAACTCTCAAATTGTGGGATTTAGAGGAGAGTGGGGTGAGGAATGATGGCAGCCTAGCGAGTGCGGTGCGGTTACGAAGAAAAGTTGCCAAGCAGCCACATTATACAGATGAATATTTTTCTGGTTGTTTTCTCTTGGATTCTCTCGAAGTGTATAATAGCACGAATTCGCTACATTTTGGGTGTCACTTTTGTATTGCATTTTGTGAAGAGATTCGTTATCGCTGAGAAGTTTTAAAACCCCACCTCACGCGGATGCTCGCACATTTTCTAGTCTCGTTTGACGTCACGCAGTCCCAAGGGCCTCGTTTTATGATATCTCGAATGATTTCCATTAACCATCTTTTTGGACACCTAGGTAAATAGCCATCGTCAATTAAAATCGGATCACCGTTCCCTGATTAACGATAAGCGTATCAATCCTTCCCAAGGGCAGCTTAAACTTTGGATTCCCTTGTCCACTGGGGGGTGAATACCTTATCTGGTGTTATATACTACAGCCAATTCAGTCCCAGCTCTATCAACGATAAGGACGAATAGAAAATCGGACGCTAGCAAATAATGTATAAATGGGGTTCTCATAGAGCAAGAACTAGAGAGCTAAGATTACTATTCTACACTAGATGTTTTCAAACGCGTATGTGTTGGCATCTTTTGCTGTGTAAAGAAAAGGTGAGATAATGATTTGATGTATACACAGCTGTTTGATTGGTAGCATCGTTCTATTTTGGAACATAGGAATACAAGCGTCCCTTAAGTGGAGTCCCACTTTCCCTTGCATTTATTAAGAAGTTGTATTTGCCTAGTGTTTCACCCGGCCTGGTTCACAAATGGAAATATGCCACTATTTGTTCTGCACAGTTCTGCTCAGCCAGTTTATCTCCGAGAGAATCTTTGACGGCAGAGACAATAATAAATTCGCCAAAACACACATGTATATATATTCACCCGTTTACCATACACATGAAAACATGGTACTTGAAAACAAATCCAACGATGACGTGGAGGAACGTTTGAAAAGAGGGATCTAATCCATGGGAAAATGATGCTTAAATAGCGCTTAAACTGTATCGCGGATATAAAGTGCGGATAAAACATATTGTTCCAAAGATACTGTTATAAATAATATAAATGTACCTAAGGCGTCATGTAAAAAGACGTGGGAGAGAGATATCGAATTAACTTGGATTAGCTTATCAACATAATTACGTACTTGGCCCGCAATGAGTTGCACTGGCTGATATGAGATCGCTTAATATTACAACATAAAATTTGACAGGTCACATGCGTCTTATATAAAAATCCCCAAGTTAATTAATTCTTCCTCTTTCGTGTGACTAATATTCCATCTAGTCAATATGCTGAATTTTTAAACATAACCCTGAAATACGAGGCATGCTTTCTAAATTTCGTGCCAAGCACCCTTGGAATTGAATACCCACGTGCTAAGTACAGCTGTTTAAGTGCAAAATTCACCGGAAAATATCTGTCTCGAATTTATGTCGCATAAAATGCAAAGAATAAAATTAAATAAAATAGGAAAAACATTGTCTGTTTGATGTGTGTGACAGTGTCCTAAGTAGATGTTTTGGCACGATGACTCCAGTATTTAACTATCATAAACAAGCGATAGTGATTGAGATAGCGCACAGACCGTAGAAAGCCTAAGCGGTTCCATGTATATCTTTTTCTAAATATATCTGAAGTCAATGCGACTTGCTAAAAATACTCTGATAACTTTTGTTGAGTAAACTTTAGATTCCGTGGTTGCGTGTTTACTAGTATTTTCAGTAGAAAATAAGAAGTGTACTTGTGCACCTGCGTGGGGAACAATTGTTTTAATGGTTTGAATAAGATTCAGCCCGGCATGTGTTGGTAGAAGTATGAATTAGTCTGGTGTATAAGTGATGTAAGAAAATAGACCTCTTATAAACTAAACTAATAATAAATTGTGTAAAACATATTCTCGCTTTTCGTCATTCCCACTTTCGTGTTTTCACACTTCACGCGACCACGCGAGGGCGCGCGCGCGAGAGAGAGATCCATATAATTTGAATTTTTCACTACTCTTGCCTACCTTTATTAAAAGGTGTCAACTTTACAGTGTTGAGGTGTGAACAAGAATAGCTGATGGACGGGATTTAAAAACACACAAGTACGTAGGAGCTCCCCTTCCGTGGTGTGAGTGGGAATAAAAAGGCTGCTTTGGGTCATTAAGTTTTCATTTTTCAACGATAACCTCTTGAGAGAGAGAGAGAGAGAGAGAGAGAGAGAGAGAGAGAGAGAGACAGAGAGAGAGAGATGTGTATAATACCGGACATGTTATCTATGAAGACTCCAGAGTCAAGGTTGGGGTTAAAGATGGTATCTGTAATGTACAGATTGTCAGTACAGTTTACTACAAGGGGCATAATATAGGCTACTAATGCCTTACCTTTAGTGACATGGCGATGATCAGCAACAACAGAAATCTTGGCATTTTGGACTAGATTCGATACAAAGTTTCTCAAAATAACTGGTACACAGCGAAAGGCGGATGAACGAGAGTTCTTGATAATGCCTTCTAATGTGAACACTTCGCTGTATTGAGGTTTCTAACTACGAAAACAATGGTCATATGGCATCGCCCGTTTCCTTTCACGGTAATTACACGTCCTATAACCCGCACCAAGATATCGAGATAGACAATAAAACTCCACTTTCACCGGTCCAGGAAAACCGAGGTGCTCCTCCTTAAAATCCGACGAGGAGATTACACCGTGTCACCTGTGTTGAACGTTGTCCACTGGATTTCAACACTCAGGCATGGGGCCCTTATCACCCGCTGGAGCTTATCGTATTTCGACACACTTGTACTTTGGCTGTGGTACACACCACACTCTCGGCAGCGACACAGATCGAAACACCGTTATACATATGTATTTATATAGTTTATCTTATTGTCTTTTTGTTTTCTTCGACTTTGCCCGTTTAGTTTAACCTACTGACTTATTGTTTTTTTTTACTTGTTCGTTTTCCTTGTATATTGTCTGTATGGGATAGCTTGTTGTCCATAATCAATTTGCATTAGAATACTGATATGGGATTGATACGGCTAACAAGTTCGATGACTTTATGATTTTATTCACCATTTCTTGTTAATTTTCTAATGCTTTCATTAGTTTTCTTTTTTTTTTGTAGTGGTGGCTTATAAAGAAAAAAATGCAAAACTGCAAAGTGTTGCATTCTTGTGGTAACGCTACTAAGCGAGTGTAAATGCTTGATCATTATCTGCTTCTTCCGAGATCATAGTGATTTGTTTCTCTCCCATCTATCTCACTCGGACCGTGAGTCAAATAAATGTAAACAGCCCTAGAAGCGGATTTCAATAACTTGGCTATTATGTATTTTTCCTTTCCTATTCCACTGTAGACACTACAATTTTGTCTTCTTTCTTTTTATTGTATATCCTATCCATCTATTTACATTTTTACTTTCACCTAGTCACAAAGTCCCTTTATAAAATGTACGGTTATCCCAACGTGAAAGAGCGCTTGTAACACAGAAAACATACATAACATACATTGCACATATAAAATTAGATAGTTCTTTATGAGACAGGTTGATTGCATCAGTTGAGAAAGGCCATTGCAATCACATTCGAGCGGGCCATGTTTGGCCATAACAGATTATTCTTTATCATCGACTGGATGAAAGTGGTCATTATTATAGATACCTTCCTTGGAGACACATAATATACCCTGGGCATTGTCAACTTTTCAGTAATTTTTTGATTTTACCAAATACATCAATTATAACTCGTTTAAATGACCGTTTAAATGGTCATAAGAAGGTGCACCGCACGCACACGCCGGTACATTTATCAAGCAGTACGACGCGTTCATATAATAAGGAGAAAAAGTATTATTAAAGACACCGAAATATGGTTACGGATAAGGATAACCTGAAAGAACACGTCTTAAAATGCATGGCAAATATCACAGAGTTCAATTTGTCTTTAATTTGATATTGACATATTCTGTTAATTCTTATTCTTATTTTCTGTACGCCAAAGCACGAAATCTCTGACCTTTTCAGTTCCTGTTTTTCAACATACATGTATGTTGTATAACTCGTCCTGTAGATGGTTAACACAAGGCAAACATTGGACTTCCATTTATGTTACATTAATTGTTGTTAAGTTTTTAACTTGTTAAAACAAATACACCCGAACTAAAAGGCGTCTTATTCAAGAAAGATATATTTTTATTCAAGTGTTTTTTGTAATTAATTTAAATATGTTCACAGCAAAATATTGAATATATACATGTGACAACAAGGACTTTTCTTTTCGCTGATTAAAACTATCTGGTCCTAATTATATTAAAAACAAAAACAAAAACAAAACAAGATTTAAAAAAAACACTCCCTCGAAATTTTGATGTGACAGGCTCAGATGTGCAGTTGGTGAGTTTACGGGCATATTTCATCCACGCCAGGGACTCACAATCTTACAACTTCTTACGGTGTGCCAGAGGATCGTTTCCAATTCTGCAAATTTCGTTCTGCCACCCCACAACCCGATAAAAATAATAAAAACGAAAAAAATAACCCATAAATATAGCAAATAGCAATTGTGAACCCCTTGATAAAAAATAAATAAATAGAATTAAAATAGAATTTAACAATGAATTATATTAATGGAAATACTATGTACAGCAACTTAAAAATTGTCCAAATATTTTTTCATATGTGCCCATGCACTTTCTCTGGGGTAATCACTGTAGGTCAAGTAGGTGGTTGTTCATCCCGGATACTGCTGCGCCCTCTCACGGCAGCGACTTTAGTGTCATCACGGAAGCTCCCATCTCTTCCGGCACTGTCGGCAGCTGTAAATTGATAGAAAAAGTAAGTAACTGTAAGGATTAATCAGATACACTTTTCAGAACTTCATTCTCCAAGCTTTCACGATTTAAAAATAAGTGTAACTAAAGAACTTGTTTATTTTCTGTTGCAATATTCTTACCATGGGTGTTGTCATCTGATTCAGCATCCGCACAGTTGGAGCTCTGGCACACGTGAATAATGCGTGCTTCTGGTTGGCCGGTTCGCAGGAGGTCACTCAGACCCCAGGGGTAATCAATGCCACCATTCTGGCTGCTAGTGACCACACTTGTCAGTGGAGCTGCGGAAGTAGAACAGCGTATGTGTTCTAGGCGTGGCAGACGTGCTGGGAGATTTCTCCTTGGGGGAGGCACGGCCAGTGCACCCTGGTATGGCAAGGTGCCACGCCCCAGGTGGGAGGCTGGAGAAGGAACGGCTTCATCCTCGTCAGAGCTGTATTGCTCGCCTTGAAAGGGGACAAAAGCAGGTTTCAGAATGGCTGCCACGCCCAGTGGTCCTTCATCTTCATCTTCATCTTCATCTTTATTATCATCATCGGTAGAGGAAACTGGTTTGCCAGCGGCGTTTTCTTTATCTGACTTTCTTTGGAGGATCTGGGAAAAATGATGCCACATTTAAAAACGTTCTTTTTCCTAAGGCGAGTTAAGCTTCCTTTCTACTGTTGAGGATAGTAACATTTTAACTAACACCTTACGTTTAAACGAATCCCTGTTTCTGAAATATTCTACATCTATACATATTGCACTTTAAACACCTTAGTTTTGAAGGCTTTAAATTGTATAAAACCCCAAAAGGCATTATTAAAAATGAGGAAAAAAAACATGTGAGGTTGTTTACCTGTTGTCTTTTCATGTCCTTTTTAGCCAGAGCCTCCTTGTTCTTATCAGAGAGCTCCTGGTGCCGCCTAGCGGCATTCTCATGTTTCTTGTTGTACGCCTCTAAGGCAGCTTCTTGCCTGGTTGCGATGCGCACCGCTTTCACACGAGGGACCTTAGATAAGAAAATAAGTCAGCCTGTTTTCTATTTAATTTTCAATTGTAATTGCTAATCACACAAAGACATTTTAATTTTAGTCTGTCTCTCATTTACCTATGTATAGAGTATAAAATGAAGTACCATATAGGGGACGTAGTAATACATGTTTAAATGCATCTCTTCAATTTAATCGGCATAATCAAATGAGTGAATTTTAGTTCATGAAAAAAAAAATTACATCAGCAGCTTTGCCAAGCTTTTTTCTAATTGCAGCCGCATGTTGAACCATTGATTCTCTGCGGCGTTCGATAGCGGCTTCCTCCCGTTTCTTCAGTTCCTCTGCATCTTTTCGCATTGCAGTGGTTGGTCTAGCTAGTCTTAAAGAGAGGAAAACGGGGAATGGACTGAGATTATTTGTAGAAAAGTACAGGTTGAGAATAAAACTTGCAGACAAAATTAATCATACAGAGAGAGAGAGAGAGAGAGAGAGAGAGACACAGAGAGAGAAAATGATGTCAGAAAACTATGTTTTTTACGTTACCTTTTTGGCATAGCAGTTTTTGGCCTGGCATCTTTATCCACAACCTCCCACGCCGTCCCAGATGCTCCTTCCTGTGGTTTTCCCACAGTCTGCAGTCCAGCTTTTTTAAGTGTCCTCTTGTTGGACAACTCGTCCTTGAATTTTGACAGTCGGCCTTGCTGGGGGCGGACTGGAGGTGGCTGAATGCAGAATTATTATGTAACGTTGTACACGTATCATACAAATTTTGATATTTTATAAGCTTGATCTCGATTGACAGACTTTATTCAGAGCTTGATTTGTACAATAAAATTTGTTAAATGTTTATTTTATTTCGCCATCACAATATGATCGGGAGATGGAGCTCAGATAGTATATCATTTTAGGCAAGTCAAATCATGCAGACTATTGAATTAAGGGGCAAAGAATGTATTTGAGTTTACCAACTGAACCAATTACTATTTCAATCTTAAGTTGTGTATTCAAACATAGAATCAGAGTATATACAAATTAACACTAGAGGAAGTGTGTGTACGTGCACATGTGCAACGTATAGGCTTCTTACACAATCCTAAACAAAAACAATTCTGCAAACATTAAAAGCAGAACAAATGGAAGGAACGGAATGAAAAAGTTGACCTGAAAGAGGAACCAAAGACAGAACTCACTTCCATTATCAAAAACATCCTATTTTCACATATTTCAAAGAAGAGCGGTTTTACTTACTGTTCCTTGTGGATCTACACCAACACGGGGGCGCCTTCTTCTAAGACGTTGTCGCACATATTGATATGCATTGCCAACACGCCCTCTTGCAATCCTGAGAGCATTTGTGAACCGATTTGTAAGAGGTTCAAAACACGACATTTTATATATAAGTATACGCAAACTAAACTAAATAAACACTAGTCACTGACAGCTTGAGTGTCGCGCCATCGCAACTCGGTATCTCTGTTTAATTGTTTTCTGCGCATGCGACGTTTCCATGGTGTTTTAAAAACGTCTCAACAACATAATGAAATTTTAATTATTGCATCACGTCATGTCGCCAAGATTCCTTTGTTGTTGTTGTTGTTTTTTTTTTTTTTTTTTTGTCAGAAAATCTTCTGTTGATTTTTGAATGTCAAATTTTTTTATTAATTTCGAAACCGTATTAAAATAGGCCTAATATATAGGCTACAGGAAAAAAAACCGATATATTTATTGATGCAGCCTAGTGCAACACAATTGAATGGAATTTCAAGGATTTTTAAGGATGAAATGTAAACATTTACGACCATATAGGCCTACGAATACTACATTTTCATTTTTCACTGTATATATATTTTTATTAGGCTTATATTTCATCAATTCATTTATATAGATAATGCATACTGTATATAACTGGAAATATACCACCATAACAGAGATTACCCCACAGTCTGTTATTTACATATATCAATAACAATCATTTGCTGGATAATATGAGAGAATACTTAGTACTGCTAGCATGATTCGTACTAATACTCTACTGTCGTGCAGTTTACGCGACTCACATTCCTGACTTTTAAAACTCGTGTCCGCTACACGGAGAACAAACCAGTACTTAAATATGCATGAGTCATGACCTACTTTTACCTTGAACGAGATGACACACATACCTGTCTTATGACCCTGTTAAGAATTTGAGTAGTTTTTTGCAGAATAAGGAAAGATGGAGTCTTTTTCTGCATCCGTAATACTAGTTTTTATTTTGTATATATTTCAAGGTAAGTTTTGGTGCATTTAAAATTCTTTATTTAACAGGGTTTTCAAAATGACTTACCTGTGTTCAAAATGTCTCACCTGTTAGGAATGATCGTTAAATTGCCGCCATCTTGAAAATCGGTTGTTTATGAAACTCAAGCTTGAACGTTTAAGAACGTTCACGTTATTTTATTACTAAAGTTATATGCCACTAAATGCAACTACCGCTGTGTATATTTATCGTATGACTAAATAATGGTAAAGGGATTCCGCTTTTGTGACCTTAATTAATTGTTTTTTGAGTGGGCGAGTAACTTTTGTGTATATGACCTCCCACTATTTTAAACTGCGTAATAATTGCTTTGTATCTTAAAGAATTTCTCTTATATATGTACGTGTTCAGCATACTTGCTCTCATTTATGATTATTTATCATTTTTTCTTCATTATTTTGAAATACGTTTGATATTATTTATTAACTCACTAATTTCGATTTTTACAGCATTAATAATTGCTTTATTTATATAAATATATTTGCAAACAAAATTTTACCATTTTGAACTGTTTTCAGTAGATCGTTTACTAACTGATACGGCATGGTTGCAGTGGAAGGATTTTATGTCGATGGCTGAATAACATTTAACACATTTTTAGCTCGGGGGCGTCTCGATAGTCCGAAGGTTCATTGGTCCGAAAAGTGGTAACATTTTCATCGATTTTTTAATCAAGGGTTCATTGGTTCAAAGGTTCTATAGTGAATATTTGGACCAATGAACCTTCGGACTATTAAACCTTCCGACTATTGCTACGGCCCCCTTTTGCACATTTAGCTCTCAGCTAACACTTTCATATAATTCTTTTTTATGAGAATGCACCTTTTTTTTTCACAAAATAAATAAAATGTACACAATTTCTCTTTGCTGCATAATTAAATCAACTAGGTATTATGAATTAGTTCAAGCTTGCTTGAAATAAACCAGAATACTGTACAGTCTCCATGTTTTGGGCTCACAAATATAATATATGAAAAGCTTTTTTTTACTGATCTTTGGCTTAACTAGAAAACAATTACTATTTTAACAAGGTTCAGTATTTGATTACAATATTTCTAACCAAATGCTTTGATAAGAATCTGAAAAAATAATATTGAATGTTTTTGCATGCCTTTTGCAAGAATTTGTATTACAATTTTATTACTTGTGTCAAGCAATCTTGTATAAAAAAAAGACTTCTTAGTCATCTCACAATTTTGCATGTTGCACCTCTTTTAGAACTCTGTCAAGCATTTTGAGTTGGTGTTGTGGCACTTCAGTGAAGTAGAGTATATAACATACAATCTTGATTGCTAACCCAGATTTCAGTGCAGTAGCCTAGCAGCCAATGTTTTGCTTTTTTTAGCAGCAGATGCCATACCCCCATCATACTGTTATTCATGTACATCAAACCAGCCAGGGTGCGGGAATGTTCTCAGCGAGTGGGTCCAGCGATGGGTCGAATGCGGAGAACAGACAATGTGTGTGAAAGTTTACCAAGTAGTCAACGGTGAGTTTACCCGTAGCTGGCTAGCGCTTAATCTCCACATTAATTTGTTTTACTTCTAGCCGAAGCCGCAGTCCGCTACTGTTATTCTTGTCAAAGTACCACCCCAGGTTGTGATGACAAGCTGGACATCTATCTCCAGAAGTGGTGGGAATGCGGGGCCGATACAATGTGTGTTAAGATCTATGACAATATCAGGGGTAGGTACAAGGTACTGCCCATGGGGAGTTGGCCAAAACACACACCCCCCCCCCTCCCCACAAAAAGAAAAAAAAAACGCATTTGCAACCTGCATTTTCAGTGTGGACTCCCTGCAGTGTGCTGAGATCCTGAATGATATATGTCCAATGTACTAATTGTACCATTTGCATGGTTTTCAATTTTACATGTCATTTATGATCATATCCTTTGCACATGCACACATATATATACTGTCTTGTGTACAGTACTTGTCAGGCTTTTGTGTGCTTGAAGCAACAATTTATTATTGATTATATAATCTTTTGTGAAATGTGGAGTCGTGCTTAAATTTTGCTAATCTGTGTTGTAAATGTACAGAGTGTAACTGTAATGTTTTTTTTTTCAAGGCACAATACACCAAGTCTTGATTTCCTGATGATTTCCCTGTGTAAGGCAGTGAATGTATTACACTTGATTTTGCACGAAACACTGGTTGTTTTAGGTGTTGTAACAAACCATAAATTCTCACTCATATATTTGTTTTATTCCTTTTAATTTTTTTAGGCCAAGAACAAATCACCAGAGGCTGCTTAAACCAGCTGATGAAAAACACCATATACCGGGAAGACATGCCAACCAATCGGAGACATAACTACTGCCTTCCTGGGCGCGGCTCCGCTAGCTCCGCCGTGTATCCCGGATCACAAACACAAGACTCCCAGCGTACATACTGTTTTTGTGATGACTGGAATGGTTGTAACCATGCCGGAAATCTGGCAGTTTCAAAATTGACATTATTGGTGCCATTGTTTTTATCTGTAGCCTGCCTGTTACGGTTGCTTCACTGAAGCATGAATATTGTTTGGTTTCCTTTGTATAAATGAGTTGTTTTCTGGGCTTGATTTATCAAAAAGACGAACTAGCCAGATCACTTTGTCATTCCATTAAAAAAAAATGTCAGCTGTTTTTATTACAAGTTTTTTAACAAAACTGTTTTATAATAAAAATAGGTTTTTTATTTCATCTAGGCAAGTTTGATTTAACCATTCTATTTTATATACTGAAGAAAGTCCAGATTTTTAATTCTGCCTTTAAACGGTGATGCCTTTCTGTTGGATGTAACACCTAGCACATTGTCTTGATGTGTTTGATACTTCAAACTGAAGATGGCAACCATGTAATACTGCATTTCAACTGAGCAGCTGGCATTCCAAGATATGTCCAAATTTGAAACAAATTAACACATTCCAAACTAACATGATTCTCACTGAATTTAACTTTTTGTTATACCAGGATAAAACTATTAGCACAATGAACTGTGTCAAATTTGATCTTTTTTAAGATGAACTGTAGGAGTAGATATGCACTCTGTTCAGAGCAAAATGGACCTTGGATATATTACAGGTATATTTACACAAATGTAATGCAGCTTTACTTGTGTGAGCATGTATAAAATTACAGCCTTTTGGGGCTTTTGTATATGCATAGGTTCAGCATATGTGTACATATAAACATTTTGTATATTGAAGACCAAGCAAACCTGTTTTTGTTCAACAGTGTTAATTTTTGCAAAGAGAATGCAGCACTTTAGAAGTACCCAGTCTGTACATGTAAATATTAAGAGGCACTCAAGTCCCATGTGCTCTTCAACCATGTACCTATATGCTTTAAATGTGCTTTGTAAAGTTTTTAAATGTAAATAGCAATAATCTTTGAAGTCTCCAAATGGAGGGCACGACAGCATGATAGCTCTGCAGTGACCCATTGTTTTTTTTTTTGTGAACTTTAAGAGAAATTTATGGGACCAATTCTGCTTTTTTTTAGCATTTGACGTGACTTGACATGACTTGACATTGATAAAATGGCTTACTCCAGAGTTATCCTTTAAATTATGCAAGTTTTCATGTTTATACATTAGATTAAAGGAAAGCCTTACTACATAAGAGCTTTTAGTTAATAACATTGGACATTGACTATAATAATTATTACGATCTGTACATAGAAGCATTTATAGTTTATATAGTTCAGGGAAATCTTTTCTGTTTTATTAGATTTGTTTCTAATTCCTTTTCTTTAAACAAAGGAAAGAAAAATAAAAGGAGTACATTTTTAAGGTATATGTTGACTTTTGTCTCTCTTATGGAGCATTCTCCACTCCTGAAAAATGGGATACCACTTCCAGAATAAATACGGCACATGAATTGCATATAACTTGGATTTAAAAATAGCTTGATGGTAGCTACTTTAAACACATAAATAAAAATGTATGTTACATGTAAAGCAAAATGAAATGTATAATTTACCATGACTTTGCAGTAATTACTCTTCCCAGCTGGGCCAGTCTTGTAAAACAAAATCCCAAAAGACGTGATATGCTATTAACTCTGTAATCTGTATTCAGAGATGATATAAAAACATCTGCATGCAATATTGTATAATATTGCAGTAGGAAGATCAGCATTATTTTACAGTTAAATCAAGTT